GTCGATTCCAAGAATCCGTCGATTCCAAGAACCCGCAGATGGACTACGGCAATCTCTTCCAGTACCTCCGCAAGAAGCGCGAGGGCGAGCCCGTGGCAATGAGACTCACGACGATGCAAGTGGCGTGGGTGCTTGCGGATGCGCTCGCCGACATCCACGCGAGAGGCGTCATCCACCGCGACGTCAAGAGCCTCAACGTGCTGCTTTCATGGACGCACGGTATCAAGCTCGGCGACTTTGGCAGCGCGCGCACCGTCGATGGGCTCATGACCGGCAACATCGGGTCGCAGCTCTGGATGGCCCCTGAGGTGTTTCGCGACTACGACGAGAACCCCGACGGAGACCGCGCGTACACGACAGCCGCCGACATCTTTTCGTTCGGCGTCGTCGTCTCCGAAGTGCACAATTGCAACGAGCCGTACGCGGGCCAAGGCAGCGTTGCCGACGTTCTTGGCATGGTGCGCGCCGGCCGCCTCCGCCCCACGTTGCAGCCCAAGTGCCCGGCCTCGCTACGCAAGCTCGTTGACGCCTGCGTGGCCTACGACCCGACGAAGCGACCGACGGCCAAGTCGATTGTGCGGTACCTTGCCAAGCACATGTTGGACAACGCTGACGAGACCGATCGGGACGCCTTTGCCGATACTGTCAAAGACGTCGAGGACGACCTGGCGCCTCAGCCTATCGTTATGAACATGTCCTTGAAAGAGGCACTTCCCACGATCGCCGAGGCAGAGCCGTAGCTTCGCGTAGTGCCCTTTAACTACCGCCTTGGGAACGACCAGAATGTACTAGTAGTCGACGTTGTATCAATTCCGCACGTTGGAATGAAGAAGAGGGCAGCCGAAGCTGTATCACATCGTCTGGTTCCACTAAGATTTTATAGACTCATCCATGAAAAGAGCCGTGGGTAATATGGCACGTGCGTGCTGTGTGCAAAGTTGGTTTTGGATTGCGCTACACATCTGCTATCATTACGCAAGGCAGCGGTACGCCCGCGTACCTCAAGCATAAAGGATACGTCAGACCGGTCGATTGCCATTAGCACGTTATGGCTGGCGGATCCGGCGCAGGATAAAAATCGCTGGTCGTGTCCGTCCAGCCGACAATTACAGCCCATTGGCTCCATCTAGTATCCGTACTACTAGTACATGGTTAGGGTAATGCAGTTCTGAGTGTACCAAATGCGCGTCGTCTCATACCAAGGCTACGTCAAGAAGATGCAGAGCGCGGCGCTACAGTAAGATGGTGGTCAAGATGGCTTCGTCCAACTACGAAGGCCGGCGGCGGATAGGCAAATATCGTCTTCCCTGGCACCCCTTCCTTGTTTACACTTTTTCTAGGATCGCTTAATGTCTCGCCGGTTGAAATATGCTTTACTAGTATGGCTTTCAAGTACGCGCTCTACGAGGCGAAAACAGAGATCGCTGTCCTTGGTGCGATTTGTACAGTTGAGTGCGTGTCGACACCAAGGCCCCACTCAGCACTCAGTCGTGTGATGTTGTGGTCTAGAACAACATATGGAAATGAGGACGCCATGCGAAACCAGTAGCAACCGTTAGTATTCCAACCGGAGAGCTGCAGAACCGGCTCAACGACCGTTTCGGCCGTCCGTTCGGACTTGTCTCGTATGCAACCGCGATGCACCATTCCAACCTCTGGGCTAGGAATGACCACTCGGTGCCGTGTTCGTGTTGCTACAGAGAGCATCGCCGATGCCCAAGCACTATTGTGGATCCCACTGAAAGTTCCAACTCGATACGGGACATACAATGGTTTAATACTCTTGTGCAAGTCGAAGAGTTCCTTTGGTTGCAATTTTGCACGGTGTACGAGGACCAGTGTTTCAAATCCGATCCATTTGCACCGTAATGATGAGTATGCACTGGATTGATTTCGCACGTTGTCTGTGAAAAGAAAACTCGTGGGTACGATGGGTTCATCGGTTCTGTGTACATAACGTGCATACAATGACAAAGTTAAATAGTTGTCGATGCTTACTTGTGATTTCGACGCCAATGTGCTACCGCTTCCGACTTGCATTTGTACCATTCATCGCGCTCGCGCTCGATCAAAACGACCCGACGCTGCCCACCAAGTCAGGCGTCAAGACGTGGGTCGACGTTGAGACGCCGGTCGAGTTTCACACCATGACAAGTTCCCGGGGCGATCCGTGGGACTTGATCATGAGCGACGAGTTCAACTTGGATGGGCGCAATTTTACCGCCGGCCACGACCATCTCTGGGTTGCTCTTGACATTCCCGATGGCGTCAACAGCGCCGTGGGTATCTACACCCCCGAGAATGCGCTCACTCTCGACGGCACGTTTCAGATCCGCGTCGACGCGACCGAGACCAACGTCACGTACTACAACGTGTGGTCGGATGCGCCGTCGTGGACGACAAAGACGATGGTACATATTGTCTATATAGCAATGGTGCATGCAACTAATATGTCGACTAGTACTACCGCGCGGCCATGGTTCAAACCTGGAACAAGTTTTGTATCCAAGGCGGGTTTGTCGAGATTTCAGCCAAAATGCCCGGGGCAACCCATGTGTCGATGAACCCCCACGTGATGGGAAAACGCTGGGACCACCAACTGCAGCGCGATGTGCCCGTCAAGCCGCTCGACCGCATCCCCGACATCCGGTTCTACCCGACATGGCCGGGTCTCTGGATGATGGGCAATCTGGGCCGCGCGCTCTTTGCGGCTTCCACCAACCGCGTCTGGCCGTGGTCGTACAACGAGTGCGACGAACGTTACCGGACGTCCCAGCGCATTAGCGCCTGCGACCCTAACCCTGGGTATGGCTTGCACCCAAACATGGGTCGCGGGTCCCCCGAGATTGACATTCTCGAAGGCGGCGGTAGCGACATCTCGTCGTCACTGCAGCTAGCGCCGGGCATGCCCGACGAGTACCGTCTCGTCGAGGCAACCATGACGTACGAGGCAACGACGAACGTCGACTCGAAAGGTAGAGCACGTATTGGGACAGTTGGTTCAGAGTGAGCAACATAGGCCGACACGGTGTCGGGTACACGGCGTGTTACTACAACAAGAACTGCTTGACGCCCGGTGCCAACATGGCCGACATCCCGACGTCGGCGTTTGCGGCCCGCGGACACAAGTCGTGGTACCAAGGCCTCCGGTACGCCGCCAACAACCGATGTGCACCGGACGCGACCCAAAAACAAGCGTGGGCGTCGGTCGCTGCGGCGCAGAACGGCACGATCGAGGACAACCAGTTTGACATCAAGACCATCAGCTCGGGCCGCGATTTACATGCCGACCTCGGTTTGATTGACGGCAAGGGGCCGCTGCACTGGGGCATCAACTACAACGGCACGTGCTTCCCGATCGCCAACGGATACAAGGGCAAGTTCCTCTGTGACCGCGACAGCCAAAACCCCAAGTGCGAGACGCCACGCCTGGAGATTCAGACGCCGACGTCGATGATGGAGCCGTTCGAGTACCAAATGGACGCCATTTCGTCCAACTGGCCCATCAGCTACGAAGCGTACACGTCGTTCTACAAGTACCAGCTCGAGTGGTACATATTGTCTCTTTCTTGGATGACAATATCGTTACGGGTTCAACTAGGGTCACGGGCGACGATGGTTACGTCCGTTGGATGCTCGACAAGGCGCCGATCTTTGAAGTCCCAGCGTCAGCGCTCACGTCACCGCCCCAGGGCACGCCTCGCAACCCGAAGAAGATTATGTTTGAAGAGCCGAGCTACTTTATCTTCAACGTGGCCATGTCGGCGGCGTGGGGTACAGAGCATGTTGCTGTGGCCATCGTTGATTTCTCATGCAAATGCTCTAGGAGCGATACCACCAAATGTGAAAGTGGGCGGCTGCCGGGGCAATGCGACGCATCCAGCACCAGGCACCTACGACTACAACGCCTCCAACAACATTTGCGACGCGTTCCCGATGTTTATGGAAGTGGACTACATCCGTGTCTGGTACGACAGCTGCACTACTACCCAAGTTATCTTCTATGTTGTTGGGTGTAGGCAAGACACAAAGACCATGAGCTACGGCTGCGACCCGGCCTCGCACCCAACGAAGGAGTTCATCAAGGCGCACATCACCAACTACACGGACCCACGCAACCACGATATTGTCGTTGCTGGAGGCGCGTCTTGCACCTCGAACGACGACTGCACTGCCGTCGCCAGTGTCACGGGGACGTGTGTGGAGCACCGGTGTCAGTGCGTCAGCGTCTGGACGGGACCCCGATGCACCAAGTACGACCTCGACACGTACGGACCGTCGGCGGCCTCCATCACCGGAGTCCTCGCCGCCGTTGCCGTTGCGTCCGTCGTAGCTCGAATGTGGCGCCGTCGTCACGACCACGTCGTTCTTCAAACCCATGAGATCGAAGTGCGGCGTGAAAAACGCAGCTCATGCTTCGCCGTTGACGCCAACGCTGTGCATGAACAGTTACCGTAACAATCTTATTCGAGTTCCGTTTGTGCCGATTATCAACGTTGCATCAATACATTATCAAGTGTTTCGCAAGCCAATAGATAAACACAAGTGATCATTGTAAAACAAGAATATTGATTGGCTCACGGGCAAATTGATAATGCATTTCTGCCTTGCAGATCAGTTGAAAATGTTTGGCCAAAATGCGGACTTGCCACTGACGAATTTGCCACCGACAACCCAAGCTGACGCATGGCGCTGACGAAAGAAGAGGTAGCTTTCAGCCACACGGCCATGAACATACTCTTACCGTGTACTATGGCGGCAGCGACAACTACGCGATGCGGCTCTCAGCGGCAACACGGCGACCGTCCGGCGCCTCGTTCTCAACGGGGTCAACCCAAACTGCTTTGGAGAAGTACGCTCTGCGTCTCCTAGTATACCGTCTCATAGACGGCGAACATAGTCGCACCGAGGTCCATTGCACGAGGCGATTATCCAAGGCCACATGGACATTGTTCGCATCTTGATCACCACCGGGGCCGACGTCAACATGCTGGCCGATGTGCGTTCATCACGCAACACAATCTGTACTGATACATCCAGGATATAGAACCGATACACGCCGTTGCGCTTTGCCGCTTCTTGCAATCGCAAGGCCATTGCCAAGCTGCTTTTACTGGCGGGCGCCAATGCCAGCGCCAAGTCGCGCGTATGAAAAACTGCATAATGTCTATTCCTCCGCGAGATGGTGACATGTGTGTGTGGCTAGTCGAAAAAGACGCCATTTCACTATGCCCAAGAAAAGTCGTACGGCGACGTGGCGGAGCTCTTGGCAGAGCACATGCGGCGGCAGACGGAGGCCAAGGTACACATCTTAGACGACCTATCGCGCGGATCACCAAGCACTATCCAACAGCTTATGGAAGCGGTCAAGCGATGTGCCATCCCGGACGCGATGGCGATTCTTCTTGAAGACGCCACGATCCGAGTGCACAACACCGAGTGTGTCCGCGGCACGAACAAGGTAATCACGGTCCATCCAGGCAATCCGACCATTTCTTCGTGGACGCAGAAATGCGCGCATTGCGTCAACAGCACCAACGAGACCGAGATCCAGCTGCCCGTGATCGACCCCAACGTTCGAGATCAGGTACACAAAGAATCGCCGGGTTGTGCAGGCGTAAGGCTCGATCTAGCGTGGCACGCCGCTCATCATTCGCATCCTCGAGACGGGCGATACGAAGCTGCTGCAAGCGCTTGTTGCCAACCCACTTTTCAACGTCGATGCTCGCGACGAGCGCGTAATGTGACATGTCGACCTACATGCCCTCACGCGGTGTAGACCAACGACTCGGCTCTCGGACGCGCCATCGCCACAAAGGCAAAAGATGCCGTGTCGCTCTTGCTCCAAGCCGGAGCGCGGCTCGAAGAGGTCAAATTTTTTCTCCATAGGTTGCACCAACGCTCAACGCATTCTTGTGCAGGACCAGGTGACCGCGTTGGTCCAAGTGCTCGGCTCTGTTCGGGACCCACTGGTACACGCTGTGAGAGCTGGCAACACTCTGTTTGCTCTTCTGCAAGCGGCCACGACAGAGGTTGTCTTGCGATAGCTCTATTCAAGGTCGTCTTGAACGCACTGTGTACAGGATGTCGTCGCCGCGCGACAAGAAGCCATCGCAAACGGTCGCGATGTGATTGCAGCCGGCCTGACCCACGATGACTCGCATCGCCTCGGCTCGTCCACGCGCGCAAAAATCACCGAGGTTCTGAATCTCTCGCAAGAAATTTTGTGACAGAGGTCTTGCAGATGCTGGCTACGGCAGTGCAAAAGGGTGTTTACACCAAGGTATCGATGATCTTGCGAGTTTCACTGCACTCTATCATGTACTTGTTTAGGCAGACAAGACGGCGCTGCTGCAATCGCTCGGACAAACGCCCACCCAACTCCAGCACGAGGTTGCGCCTACTTTGATCCCGTCAGTGGTGACTAGATTGGAGGTAGATGGCCCAAACGATCTTGGTGGCGGCAGTGACCTGCGACCATGTACCACTGGTGATCGAGCTACTCCATGCTGCATCGTCTCGACCTCTCAACACGGTCTCTTCGGTACCGCACAACACGTCACCTTGCGTTTTAATGTCTCTATATCCAGAACGGACCGTCGCCGCTGCACGTGGCTGCGAAAAGTGCTTCGATGGGGATGCTCTACGTGCTGCTCACCCAGGATCTTGCCAACATCAACGCAACAGACGAGGTATACCCACCCACTTCCTCATCTTTTGTGATCTCTGGGAATGGGATGCAGGAAGGGTACACGCCATTGGCCATTGCGGTCCAAGAAGGCCGACCTGACGTCGCTGCGTTGCTTCTCAGCGTCGGCGCAGACGTCTCGACACAGTTATCGGTAAGTTCTTTTGAGGCGCGTGGTAAATCATGGACAAGTGGTGTAGGGCCACGCACCACTGCTGCACCTCGCGATTACGACCGGCAGTTGTCTACAGCTTCTGGAGCTTTCCTTGTCAGCCCCACGCGTCGACATCAACCAAACAGACAAGGTTCGCAATTATGCTGGAAGATCCTAAGCTTGGATCTATCGCCACTTAGGATGGGTATACCGCGCTGGCAAAGGCGGTCATCACGGGCCATGAAGCTGCGACCACCCGTCTTGTCGAGAAGGGAGCTGATGTGTGGACCCTTTTGCCTGTACAGTACATCATTGCTCTTGCAGTTCATTTACTGATGTACTATTCTGTCGTAGAATGGGCAGACGCTGTTGGCAGCGGCCATCCAGCACCACCAGCACGCGATCGCATCGGTGCTCTATGCGCGCATGTACCCAGGAACGACACAGGTACTTCTTGAATGCAGCGATGATGCAGTTTGAACATGTCTTGCAGGCTTCCATCTTGGACATCACGATTGTCGATTGCATGGCTCGGCAGCGAAACGACGTTGTCGTGCACAAGGCCACGTACGCAGGCAAGACGGTCGTGCTCAAGGGCCCACGGTTTCCCATCAAGCGGGTTGTCGACGCCATGCGCAACGAGGCGCAAGAGATGCAAGGGTACAGCATATCGTCATTCGAAGAAAAAGGAGGCTGACGCAGGTGTGGGTAGGTGTACGTCGCCGTACGTGCAGCCGCTGATTGGCATCCTTGACAATGGCTCGTCGGCGCCGCTGGTGACGCCCAGCGGTGACGCTTTGTACAGCCCGACGATGATCATCGAGTACATGGACGGCGGGGATCTTCACGAGACGCTGGAGAAGACACGGTTGGGTCTCGACGTTGTCCTGCACGTCTCAATCAGCGAGGTTGCCCTCGTCCTCGCGTATGCGCTGAGAGATTTGCATGCCCTTGGCAAGGTGCACCGGGACGTCAAGAGTCACAATATCTTTCTCTCGTCGACGTACTACATTCGACTCGGCGATCTCGGCTCGGCGCGGACACTCGATGGCTGCATGACGTCGAACGTCGGCACATCGCTGTGGATCGCACCCGAGGTCGCTCGCGCCGGCGCCGGGGACACGGGGCGGTCGTATGGTCCGCCCGCCGACATTTACTCGTTTGGTGTTGTCCTCACCGAGCTCGACACGCGCGAGACGCCGTACGCAGACGTCCAAGACCAGAGTTTGATTCCTGCTCAAGTGCGCGATGGTAAACTGCGCCCGAAAATGAGCGCCACTTGCGCACCGTGGCTCCAAGCGCTCGCCGACCAGTGCTTGGCGACGAACCCCGCCGATCGCCCGACGGCCGTCGATATCATTGCGACGTTACTCGCCCTCCGTCATGACGACACACTGACGGCGCCCCCGCCATGACAATCGCTAAGAGCCTTGGCCGCCACAGGGGCATGATTGTTTCCTTTTTTCCTGTGACCATTGCCATTGCCCATACACAAAAAATTCATTCAAATGTTCACCTTGTTCTGGTATGAGAGGTGGTACATTGCACGAAAACAAAAGTAATTAGAACTAGATTTGGATCAAAAGGCGATATTGTTTTCCATAACTCTTGATTCTATTCAGGTGATCAGCCATTAGCTCGTACCTGATACTTGGTTCGGTGTCCTTGGGCTTGCGCCTGCCTGTCGTCGACCGCCGCCGACGACAGGCAGTGGGCGGGATTCCGCGGATCTACGGTACTCGCATTAGTACCGACCTCGACTGCGCGACGTTGATACCGGAGGCACTTCAGACGACGCAGTAGGGCTTGAAGGGGGCTACGCGGCGCGTGGATTAGTTGAGTACCAGTTACCTCTTGACGCACCTGGCAGGCGGGCGAAGAGGCACACCGACGTCATGCTACAGAATTAATCTTAGGCTCCCCATTGAAGCTCGTCACTACCCGTCATGGGGCTCGTCGGCAAAAGCTGGAATGACTACCGGTAGTGAAGCATCGATTTGGCTCGGATAAGATGCGACCGTCTGCACGGTTGCAGATCTGAATCGGCAACGCGATTGGCTCTTTTTGTTCACGCTCTGTTATGATTGGTGCGCAATAAAACCGACGAGCCAATTGAATAGCTTCGTTCCTTTTCGGAGGTAAAAGCAGCCAATCCACGGCAGCCGACGTGGCAGCCTGGCTTTGCGTCCTTGACGTTGGGATTCATTTCTGGTCGTTGGACGCAGCTGCCAGCGGCTGGTTCTATGCCAGCCGCGTTGGCAGCCTCTGCCAGTCAATGGCCTTCCCATAGCTTTCGCAGTTCCATTGTACACCAAGTCCACATACAGAGCAGTGGCTGTGAGCCAAACGACCAAGATCGATGGAACATAAAAACTTAAAAGGAGGAAGTTCAAACGTAGTACTAGTGTCTGCAAGCCGGAAACGATCTCAAGACGAAGGTGCTACTGGATGAACTTGCAGGCCGTGGCGCCCATGTCGTCGTGCACGGTCGTGGCGTTGACGGGCACGCTCTTGAAGAAGCACGTGCCAAAGTTCGGGTTGCCCGGCATCTGCACAAACGTGACGGTGTTGCAGTTCTTGCCGCCCGACGTGTAGTACTGGCATCGGTCGAGGCACCGGCTGAAGCGCGTCTGTGTGTTGCCAATGTCGAAGCCGTAGTAGTTGGCGTTGCCGGCGCACGTGTACTTGGTGTTGTCAAACTTGGCCACGCTCTTGCACTCGGGGTCCATCTTGTACGTGTACACCGTCGATAGCACGAGGCACTCGGCCGTCTTCTCCTTCCAGACGGCATACCACCGGCCGCGGGCCACGGCTTCGGCGACGCACGCCTCGAGCGTCGTGATGTCGGTCGTCGTGTAGTCGTCCTCGCCGTCGCACTTGTTGTGGCACACGCCGTTGGAGACGACCCAGTTGTCCGGCAGCGTCGCCGCCGACGACCGCGTCGACGTCTCGGGCACACACTGCGAGTACGCGTCGGACCACGTTTTGCACGCGCTGCCGGCCGCGCAGGCGGTGGGGCCAGAGTAGCCGCTGCCACCGCACTTGCCCCAGACGCCGACTTGGTCCTTCCCGCCGGGCTGGCACTGCGAGTACGCATCGCCAAACGGGACGCAGATACCGCCGGGCGCGCACTCGGTGTCGCCGAGGTACGTGGCTCCGCCGCACTGGCCCCAGAGCTCGACCGTGTTGGCGTCGCTGGACCGGTAGTGGTTGGCCGACGCGCCGACGGCAAGGAGGGTAAGGGTAGCGAGCTGCATGATACCGGTTTAGCAAAAGGCAAAGTGAGCTGCCAAGAGCTTGTACCTCCGACCAAGATCGCGCCCGCAGCCGCGTCCACGTCCGAGGCAAGTCCTTGCAAGCGAGTGTCTTGCGCCATGCACAGGGATTGTGAGCCTTTGATCGAGCACATGCCACGCAAAGAGGGAGTCCCCACGTGCAGCGACCCTGCGACAAGTGAGCTGGAATTTTGGCCGACGGTCGCCATGGGTGCAGGAGAGGGAAGAGGACGTTCTCTATCTGCGCAGCGGCCAATGCGACTCGCAGCTACAAGGTATACAGAGCAGTGCAAAGGAGCAAGCTGGTGATGCAGCAACAGAGTCAGTTGCTTGGCCACGCGTCGACGATCATGGATACTGCTGTAGTAGCCGCGTCGACGGTGCAACGATGCGGCGCTCCTTGCGATGCGATCCGATGGCTGATGGCATCGACTGACGCCGCAGCCTCGAGTCCGCACGTGGCTGCAAGCAAAGACCGACTCGGCACCCGCTACCATTACGAAGCCAGCACCAATCTTCAAGCACAAAGCGCCGCCAAAGTAACAATAAGCTCTGATACATTGCAACATGATGCTTACGTTAACCTTCTACTTGGTCATCTTGCAGGCCGTGGCACCAAGGTCGCTCTTGCCGGGCGTGGCGCTGGTGTCGATCGACTTGAGGAAGCACGTGCCGTAGTTCTGGCCGGGGTTCTGTACAAACGTGACGGCGTTGCAGTTCTTGCCGCCCGACGTGTAGTACTTGCACGAGTCGAGGCAGCGGCTGAAGCGCGTCTGCATGTTGCCAATGTCAAAACCGTTGTAGTTCGCGTTGCCGACGCACGAAAAGTTCTCCGAGTCAAATTTGGCCGCGCTCTTGCAGGCCGGGTCCATCTTGTACGTGTAGACGGTCGAGAGAACGAGGCAAGTCTTGCCGTCCCAGACCGCGTTCCACTTGCCGCGCGCGTTGGCTTCGTTGACGCACGCTTCGAAAGATGTAATGCCCGAGGTCTCAACGTCCGTGTCGCCTTGGCACTTGTCAAAGCAGACGCCGTCGGACGCCACGTAGCTCGACGGCAGCGTCGACGGCGAGTCGTTGCTTGGGACGCACTGCGAGTTCCACTCGTCCCAGGCCTTGCACGTGTTGCCGGCTGTGCACTTGGTCGAGCCGGTGTAGTTCTTCCCGCCGCATTGGCCCCAAACGCCGACCTCGTTGTCACCGCCGGGCTGGCACTGCGAGAACCACTCGTTGATGGGCTTGCAGTAGAAGCCGCTCGTGCACGCCTTGTCGCCTTGGTAGTTCTTGCCGCCGCATTGGCCCCACGCGTCGACTTGGTCCGACTCGATGTGGCGAAAGTGGTTGAGCGGCGAGGCAGCCGCAAGCGCAAGGCCCGTCGTGAGGAGCGTGATCTTCATGGTAGCAGCGAGAAGACGAAGTGAGATCTTGCCCCAAGGCAGTGGACGGCGGCTGCGGATGGGGCGCGTTGAAGTTGGTGTGATCGATTGAAAAATCGGTCATTTGGAAATTGCCCTAATAAAGATAGTGTAGACACTGTATATAGAGTAATGACACGGGAGACTGACACGTATTTAGCGTATCCTGCCTTGTTCCTTAGGGAATGAGCATTCCAACCGAGCCAACACCGGAAGCAGCCAATGAAAACGTAGCACTGCTGACGTCAGTACACTGCATATACAGTGTATGGTACACTGGCGAGAATTGGGTCGGAGATTTCAATGGTCCTGGCGCTTGATTCGGCGCGCGGTCCTGCCACCCACCGTCCAGTGCTTGAGTTGCTGCAATTGAATTCGACTAACTAAAGTCGGGCGTGCTTTAACGAGCCAAGAGGCCCGGGCAAAGACGTCCGGGCAAAGAAGTCTAGGTGAAAGGTGCGCAGAAAAAAGGGCACCGTTGCGTGAGATCGCACGCCAGGAGCAGAGCAGCCCCAAACGACCTTCGACTAGTATAACCCTTACGTCCACACGAAGCTGCAAGCAAAGACCGACTCGGCACCCGCCACCACCAATGCACAGCATGTGCGCTAAGAGATGACGGGCGCCCAGTGAGATCGTGTCCAGCTTCTATTGCTGGCAATACGCCGAAAAACGCAGTGCAGCAATATGTCCTGATATATTGATACATGATGCTAACGTTCTACTTGGTCATCTTGCAGGCCGTGGCACCGAGGTCGCTCTTGCCGGGCGTAGCGTTGGTGTCGATGAATTTGAAGAAGCACGTGCCGTAGTTCTGACCGGGGTTCTGTACAAACGTGACGGCGTTGCAGTTCTTGCCGCCCGACGTGTAGTACTTGCACGAGTCGAGGCAGCGGCTGAAGCGCGTTTGCGTGTTGCCAATGTCGTGGCCGTAGTAATCTGCGTTGCCGACGCACGAAAAGCTCTCCGCGTCAAACTTGGCCGCGCTCTTGCACGCCGGGTTCAACTTGTACGTATAGACAGTTGAGAGCACGAGGCACGTCTTGCCATCCCAGACCGCGTTCCACTTGCCGCGCGCGTTGGCTTCGTTGACGCACGCTTCGAAAGATGTGATGCCCGAGGTCTCGACGTCCGTGTCGCCCTGGCACTTGTCAAAGCAGACGCCGTCGGACGCCACGTAGCTCGACGGCAGCGTCGACGGCGAGTCGTTGCTTGGGACGCACTGCGAGTACCACTCGTTCCAGGCCTTGCACGTGTTGCCGGCCGTGCACTTGGTGTCGCCGTTGTAGTCCTTCCCGCCGCATTGGCCCCAAATACCGACTTGGCCGTTGCCGCCGGGCTGGCACTGCGAGTACCACTCGTTGATGAGCTTGCAGTAAAAGCCGCTCGAGCACGCCTTGTCGCCTTGGTAGTTCTTGCCGCCGCATTGGCCCCAGGCGTCGACTTGGTCCGACTCGATGTGGCGAAAGTGGTTGAGCGGCGAGGCAGCCGCAAGCGCAAGGCCCGTCGTGAGGAGCGTGATCTTCATGGAAACGATACGAATAAGAAGTGAGATCCTCTCTTCTGGCCGGCGGCTGCGGATCGGGCGACATTGAACTTGCTGCGATCCGCGCAGGATTGAAAAATCGGCCGACCGGGATATTCTCTTGTACAGTAGCTGTAAGCTCTGTAGACAGCAGAAAGAACCGGGAGATTCATCTATATGTAGTCGATTCTGCCCAGTACTCTAGGGAATGAGCATTCCAACCAGGAAGGCCCACATTTGGCAGCCACTTGAAGCAGCCAATGAAAACGCAGCACTGGTAGGCAGTACAGTGTATGGTATACTGGCGCGAATTGGGTCGCAGATTTCAGGCCCGGATACGAGGTCCTGGCGATTCATTTTGGCGCTTGGTCCTCGCATCGGTCTGAAGGACGATCCATACTATTGGTGATATTGAGCTCGACTAATTAGAGTCGTGCGGGCTTGAAACGAGCGACTTGGACGAAGCGGTTCGGGCTAAGGTGCGCATAAAAACGGCCACTGTGGGCGGATTGTGGCGCTGCATGGGATCGGCTCCACACGCCAAAACTACTGTACCGGTACCGTTACCAGCCAAGGCCTGCCAAGATCGTCCAACGCTGGCGTCGTTCTCATTTTCCGTGCAGATGCCACGGGTACTTATAGGGCCTTTCGCAAGCACTGTAGTCATGCAAGCAGGAGCTGCTGGAGCCCCGTATGATTGCGGTGAGCAAGCCGATCGAGAGGACAGGCGTGGTACTGTACGTACTGCACAGCAGTTCGCCACATGTCGCGCGCGGCTTGCCCGACGAATTGACTTCCTGAGGGCACCGCCTGTACCAGAATACATTTGGCACAGCTGCTTTGGACGGAACGAGGGCGGTGTGGATTCGCTTGTCGTCTTGCGCCCAAGGGCAGAGCTGGGGTGCTGACCAAGCATCTTGACCGTGGGGACGGTATCCAGTCCGTCTCAAAGATACCTCTTTTCTCCAAAGTGTCGTAAAACGTGCGTTGCTAAACGGTCATACTAATGGCACGCAACTTTACTCTTATTATGAATACCAGATGCTTTGGGCAGTGCATTTGAGCATACAAAAACCAATAGAAAAGAGTGTAGCCAGCCAGGCAAGACGATCATTGAGCGAGTCTTGAGATATCCATCTGCACCAAGATCGCCATTGGTCAAGCAAGCGGCTTTGGGGTGGCGTCGTCACTTGCCAATCTCCTACGACCAGTACCAGCCATGCACAGCAGCCTCTTCACGTCCGTTCTTCTTGCCGCCTCGGCGCAGGCCGCGCACGTCCACCTCCGCGACATCAAGGCGGCCCAGGTCCGACGTCTGGAACCAGTGCGGTGGCAAGGAGTACCGCGGTGACACCGCGTGCACGAGCGGCAACTACTGCAAGGTCATCAACGAGTGGTACTCGCAGTGCCAGCCCGGCGGCCAGAGCGAGGTCGGCGTCTGGGGCCAGTGCGGCGGCAAGAACTACAACGGCGCGACCAAGTGCACGTCCGGCAACACGTGCAAGGTCTGGAACGAGTGGAACTCGCAGTGCGTCCCGAGCAACGACCAGCCCGCGACCGCGCCGCTCAACTGGGCGCAGGTCGACGGCGTCTGCT